CCAGTGCAGCACATGTACACTAGAGGTTTGCTGCAATGCAGTTATATGAAGGTAGCGTTGCTCACGCAGAACAGCCCCAGTGTAGGCAAAGCCTTAGAGACCCGCAGGTGCCTGGCCCCTTCTGTCTTTGAAGAGCTCTCCTGGATGACGCAATTGGCACCCCCCCACCCACCTTCATTATGCTTCAGCGTGTTTTTATCAAGTCCTTGATCCAGCCTTACTCGTGTCAGGATCAATAGCGTTCACGGACTCAAAGCACAGAGCTGCGAAAGGAGAGGGAATTGCACAGTGTCAATGAAAAATCAAAGTTAAGTTCTCACAGATGACTGCTTAAAATACCTGACCTTTACCTGCTCCTCTTCTTTGCTTTAAATCCGTTATTGTCGGTGTAGGGATAGTGGTGGACCTTCCATATTTTGTAAAATTATGTACCACATTGCATTACATGGGCACTGGTATGACAGTGTATCCGTGTTGTCCCCTTCTTTTACTTTTCTGCCCACTGCTGTTGAGCAAAGTAACTGTTTTGAAATGTTTTGTTCTGCATGTGGCTCTGCAGGGATATGTACGCAGTGTGTCCAAGAGAAGAGAGAGAGTGCTGCCAGAATGGCTAACTCACTTGCTATTTTATTGTAAGTCTTATCGTATTTGATTGCTTTCATAAAGCCCCAGCTCCTGGAGTCATGTGATTACGTGAGAATCTCAGCTTTTTTAAAATTAAGTTTCTAGCCTTCATGCTTGCAGAGAAAACTGTGAACCCAAAAGGCTCAAAATCCAGAAGACATAACAAATAAAAAGATCCCAAATGCATTACTTTTTAAAAAAACCATGATTTTTAAGCCAGTTTCATGATTTTCTGCGGGACTGACAGATGATTTTTGGGCACGTGGGACTTGGCAAGGCTAGAAAGGAAACAGCTCAAAGAGCAGTGGAGTGAAAATAGGGAAAAAGTTAAGTACCAACGAAGCAATGCCCCAAGAGCAACAGCAGCGGTGGGAAGAACAACGTCAGAAAGGGGAAAAGAGCGGCAGAAAAGGCACCTGCGACAACATGTCATCCCCGTACGCCTGAAACCAGCAATGAAGGATCCAGGCTTGTGACGTTCCTGGGAGGTTTATCTCTTTCTCGTTATTGTATTGCAGCCTGGGCAAACAAACTGTGCTGCTCTCGATAATGAAAGAGGTGACGGTACTAATTTATTTACCAAACGAAATGTCGGATGTAATAGAATGGAATTAACCTCTTCTTCAGCTTGCTCGTCAGGTGGCGGTAGCACCAGGCAGTGGGTGTGCTTTTAGCCTCGAGCTTGTTGCTAACTGGTAGTTCAGCTGGCTAGCTTAGTTCACTGCAATGTGAAGATAAATTAGGCAGTCCTAAGAGTATAGATTTAGGAGCCTAACTGCAGGCCCCCAGCTGCCCTTGGAAACAGGATTTGCTAATAATTTCAGTGCTAACACAATCTGAACTTGAGTGACATTCACCCAGTGTCACCCTCTCAGGAGCAGCTGGATAGGGAAGGCCTGGAGAATGGGGATCACAAAATCAATGAAGTCAGCATGTTGTCTCCATGAATGAACCGTGGAACTCGTGCACAATAAGTAACACATTATGATTTACTGGCAAGTCCGCTGATGTAAACAAGGAAAACAGAGGGTCAGGGCTAAATGAAGTTGGAATAGGAAAGCAATCTATTACTTTCCTGTCATTCTTCCACAGAGGGATAAGGAACAGATCTCCGCAGGTGCTGTTTTAGAGCGGTCTGCGCTCTGACGGGAGGATCTTTGCCTCATAATGCACACAACAGCAGTGCAACTGGTTCTGTGCTTACCGAGCGACAAAAGTAGCTGCTTTCTTGCGGGGAGAACTGGGCAGGGATGTCAATTTGTGGAAACCGAAATGGTTCCTGAGAAAGGGTCAGTTTCGAGTCATCTTCTGATTAGAAAAATGTTTGGGGTGGGGAGTTTCTAATTGTCCAAACATCCTGTATTGATGTTTTCAAACCAAAGTTTCATTTTTCAATTTTAAATGAATTTTCATTTTGAAAAGTAATTACCGGTAACTGATACTAAAAAAGGTAAAAATCAAAATGGAAACAAAATGTTGAAAAGACATGTTAATTGACCTGATCAGAATTTTTTTTTCAAATGATCAGTTCATGTAAATTTTTAAGATTTCAACTTTTCATCCTGTGTCCAAATGGGGAGAAAAAAATTCAAAATCTCAACCGTTCATGGGATGGGAAAATCACGCCCTGCCCGGCTCTACTTGAGAGTACGTGAGGCACCTCACTTCTTTTCTTGCTACTTGCCCCGTTATCAAATCAATGTCTGATGAGCTAATTTGTGATGTTAACACAAGAGTTCGTGCAGTATTATTTGGCTGCAGCCGTGCTGTTTAATGTATTTATGGTACCAAGTGTTTTTGTTGGTCAGCATATGAAATTCAAACTGAGCTCTGATCTCAGACACCTGTTCCATGGACTTTGGTGTGGCTCTGCAGAGGTGCAGGGCAATCAGGTTGCGGAATCAGGGTTGTATGTTGATGTGAGGAAAACCCTCACTCAGTAGCCACTTCAGACACTAGGGGTTGATGCATATGCAGTTGCCTCAGGGAAGTGGAGATGCCCCACCTTTTAGCCTGCGGTGGTACTGTAGAGTTTTACTGCTGATCATGCTATAGAAATTTCTATCACCAGAGGCTGACAAATTCAAAGAACCAGCACATCTACCAGTTCTTCTTTTTGCCTGTCATAAACTCTTCTAGTCTGTCATTTACTTCTCTCTTGCTTTATCTTTTAGAACATATATTTTTTTAAGTATTAAACCCAGTCCAAACTTCTGCAGTCGGTTGGTCTCACATGAAACCCGTTATCCCTCCAGATTTATTGTCTTTAACTGGTGTCTTCTTGCATTGGTGGAGAGACCTGCATTATCAAACAAGTCAAACTTATGGCCGCCTGGAAACCAAGCAGTCAGAGAGCAGCGGATGCTGTCGGTGATTTTCATCTCTAGTTATTTCTGGCCACATTTTCCATACCATAATTCTGTCCCATAGGCAGCAATAGGCTAAAATTAGGCATTGTGGCTCTGTGGTTCCTAGGATTCACTGGTTGGCTGTAGAATAGTTTTAAGTTGAAACTTTCCATTGTCACATTCTCGCAAAGTTAGCATGTAATCCATGCTAGTTGCAAAAGCTGCAGGCAGATTATTAGCAACACTGTGACTAAATGAGTCAGATAACTCATTGGTTTGTCATGAGTCTTGCACTCGTTGGTACTGTACTTAAAGCCCCACCTCCTGGAGTCTAGTGTTTACATGCCAATTTCTGCTTATTTTTTGTTCCTAAATAAATGAAAGTTTCTGGTCCCAATGGTTGTAGTGGATTGCTTAAAAGCATGAATCCTAAAGGCTCGCAAACCTGGAAGACTAGTAAACAGAACCTGAAATGTATGTATTTATTTTTTTTTAAATCTCAGGATTTTTAAGCCAGTCTCATGGTTTATTTGGAGCCTGACCTGTGATTGTTGAATGCTTCAGATTGACAATACTGTAATGTCCATTGCGTGAGCCAGAGTGGATGCATGAGGCCCTTCCCCCTCTGCTGCGCTGATCCCATATAAAATAGAGCACTTCTGGTGTAAGAGCGCTTTCCAGGGGTGTTCATGTGAGTAACAAGCGAGCACAGCCACAGTGAATCCATTTCTTCAGTCGGAGTGAATGTTTGTGGGGAAACTCTGCGGTGTTCCCCCAGCTCTGGTAACAAGCCTGTTGGCTCATGCATGCCCTCATCTGGCCAGGGCTCTCCAGAGCATCCTGAAGAGTGAAATGCACCCTTTTCCTCTCAGATCCCACTCAAACTCTGTTTTGAGGGCGTAAGTGAGCTTTCAGGGAAGCACAGTCCTTCCACACAGAGGTGAAGCATCAAAGGGGGCGTACGGTCTCATGGGGAGTTGCTACTGATTGTGACAGGAAAACAAAATGATCTTTTTAAAGGGGTTGACAACCAGAAATATTAGTTCTTCTTTAACTCTGGCCTGGTATCTGTATCTTATTTTGCTCTGACTTTCAAAAAGAAAGTGCAGAGGAACTTCTGAAGCACCATGGCTGATAACACAGAGAATATTTAACCTGTCAGTTTGGAATTCTGCCAGGAAAAGCTTATAGCTCGGGGTTTTGACAGCTGATTGCTCTCTGTGCATTGCCTTCGATGCCACAAGGCCGGTATCCTTACAAAGAACTATGTGATCTTTACAATTCTCTTTTATGAGCTTGTTTCAGTCTTGGAGCAAAACATACTTCCAAGATTGGAGCGCTGTTCAGATGGACTTGTTAAAAAGAAAAACTAGCCCTCAAAGGGCCAGATCCTCAGCATACCTCTGTTGACTTTAATACTGAGTTACTCTGGCTGAGGATCTGGCCCAGAAAGGTTAGAAAGGTTAAAAACACCTTGCACTTGGAAAACAGAGCTTTATATTTCTGACCAGGAACTTCTGTGGAGAGGCACAAAACGCATAATCCTTTGACTTTTCCCTTCAGGCTCATTCATCATTTGAGAAAAAGCCTTTGTTACTAGGTGAGAACCAGGACCAGCCTCCACAGTGGAAGAAATTGGTTGACATACTTGTTATTCTGCACCAAGTTCTTTTGCTTTACAAGTTACCCCCACAAATTCCTCTGGGATGAGACAATGGGTAAAATTTTCAAAAATGCGTAAGTGACTTGGGAGCCTTCATCCGATTTTCAAAAGTGTGACATAGGCCCAGATTTTTAAAGGTGTTTAGGCACCTAACTCCTTATTGACTCCCAAGTGCCTAAGTCACTTAGTAAATGTGACATTGGCTCCCAAGTCACCGAGGCGCTTTTGAAAATTTTACCCTGCATCTTTATCATGCTATTTTAAAAAATGTATACGTGTGGTGGACAGTACATCTCTTAGCCTTTTGCTTCTGGTGTGTTGCTTGCTGCACTTTAGCTCATCATGCTTTTGTGTTGCGTTTTCAGATTAGCAAATTCTGTGGCCATTCCCAACAGAGACAGTATAGATCAGCTCATGACCCTGAAGACCTTTTCATTGACAAGAATGTACGGAAGGTGGCTCACACAGAACATGAGGAAACCCTGTCCAGCCGGAGAAGGTGAGACCGTTTTGACTCTGAGTATACATGGCTGCTGTCTTTATGAGGCAGGAAACTACTCTGATGTAAAACTCTGAAATATATCCATGTGGGTGAGGGTTACATGTTTTCATGGCTACTGTGTAAATGTCAATGTGTTTTTCTCTTAAGCATAAAACTGTCTTCTGATTCCCATCTTTGATATTCCAGGGGCTGTACAAAACACTGTTTTTAAAGGTTGCCAAGGCAGATGTTAACCTTAGCCTGAAGCATGGCGCACAAGGTTTCCAACCTTATAGTATGGAGGGATTTTTTTTTTATTTAACACTTTAAAAACATCAAGGAATGTTCACAGCAGTTTTCTAAGTGTTTGAAAATCAGAGCAGGCGTCTGTGTTTGTGGCACGGAACCCAGCACTTGTTCCAGCTAGGTTTAACTCGGTAAATAGAAGCTGTAATTTAGTGGGATTATATTGGTATGAAGGGAAAAAGCTCTTCTCCCTCTCACTGATTTTTAAAGCAGACTAGGAGAATTTTGCGTGCATGCGCTTATGTATTTAAATAAAAGAAGAACAGCTGCAGAAATGAAATGAGACAATTTGATTTTTTTTTGTAAATGTGGAAACGCTCAAAGACGACGTGAACAAAGTCACCTGTAAATATTTACTGGGCCAAATTCTCATTGTCTTTCAGTCGGGCCGTACCAGGGTGGACTAAGAGGAGACTGCTTGTAAGTGTGTTATAAGCATCTTTGTTCCTCCATTATCTTCCTGTGTTGTGGGGGGCACACTGCACAGACTCTGGAAGTGATGAATTATTGTCATTTGAGGAGCATGGGATTTGGAGAAACCCACTGCAATGTACTTAGGGCTTTAAGAGAGGCTGTACGTACTGACATTGGAAACGTTTCTCTCCTTCACTTTGCGACTGATGTCTCCCATCCTCCTGTTGTGAGCAGATGATCACTTGCAGCTTCAGCCGACAGAAAACATTGTTCCTTCCAGTGCTCTTCCTGCGGGATCTGGTACCTCAGTTTACAATAACAAGATGGGAGCTGCTTTCAGGACAGGACCTCATAGGAAATTGACAGCTACAAGATGAGAGACCATCCTGGTTACACACGAGGGGAAATGAAAAGGAAGGAGGGATGAAAGATTCTGGAACAAATGATCAATCAATCTGTCTGTAAGACCGAGAGGATAATCAGGTGGTAAGGAATAGCCAACATGGATCTGTCAAGAACAAATCATGTCAGACCAACCTAATTCCTTCTTTGATAGCGTTACTGGCCTAGTGAGTTGGGGAAAGCAGTAGATGTGCTATATCTTGATTTTAGTAAGGCTTTTGACACAGTCCCATGAGACATTCGCACAAGCAAATGAGGGAAATGTGGTCTAGATGAAATTATTATAAGGTCAGTGCACGGCTGGTTGAAAACCATACTCAAAGAATAATTATCAATGGTTCGCTGTCAAACTGGAAGGTTGTATCTAGTGGGGTCCTGCAGGGATCTCTCTTGGGTCCAGTACTATTCAATATTTTCACTAATGACTTGGATAATGGAGTGGAGAGTTTTCTTATAAAATTTTCAGATGACACCAAACTGGGAGGGATTGTAAACACTTTGGAGGACAGGATTAGAATTCAAAACAACCTTGACAAATTGGAGAATTGGTCTGAATTCAACAAGATGAAATTCAATACAATTCAAAGTACTTCACTTAGGAAGGAAAAATCAAATGAACAACTACAAAATGTGGAGTAACTGGCTGAGCAGTAGTATTACAGAAAAGGAACTGGGGATTATAGTGGATTTCAAACTGAATACGAGACAATAACGTGAGGCAATTGTGAAGAAGGCTAATATCATTCTGGGATGTATTAAAAGGAGCATCATATGTAAGACATGGGAGGTAATTGTCCCACCCTGCTTAGCAATTCAGCACAAAAATCCCATGAGAAGAATCTTGACTTATTTTGGCCTCCCGGGTGGCCCCATGAAGAAAATAAAGCCCCCCAGGAAATGCATTAAGAACAAATGGTGATCACAAGATATTCTAGTGCCTGCCGAAAGTGAAGACATAAATCTTCCCGTGTATTTTTGCAGGGAAAGATGCTCAGGCTTTGTGATGTGTTTTTAATGACATTAGTAAGGCTTTTCTCGTTAACTAAAGCTTGTTTATTGGTGGAGATAAGGCGATAAATAGCAGCACTGACATCTTTCAATAGCCAGAAAAGCTGCATTATGAAAAGGAGTACTTGTGGCACCTTAGAGACTAACCAATTTATTTGAGCATAAGCATAAGTACTTCTGTACTTTCCACAGTATGCATCCGATGAAGTGAGCTGTAGCTCATGAAAGCTTATGCTCAAATAAATTGGTTAGTCTCTAAGGTGCCACAAGTCCTCCTTTTCTTTTTGTGAATACAGACTAACACGGCTGTTACTCTGAAAGCTGCATTATGTTACTTCCCATCAATACTGTAGGAGAAAAAAAGGGAATCCTCTTCCACTCTATCTCTGTTAGTTAAAGAGGCCGTGTGCACCGGCTGTGTGAATCTGATGATGGGTGAAAAGCTGCATGCCTTATTAAAAGTAAAGAAATAAAAAATAAAGGCTCTCTTTGAAAGCATCCAGACATCTTTCTCTTTGTTTTGTCTGCCCCCAGCTGGGTGGTTTGTAGCTCACGGCTAATCTCTGTAACAGTTTACTTCAGTCTGAAGTGGATTCACTCCTTTTAAAATAAGGAATGGTACGTGCCAAAAGGCAGACCGTACCAGTCCAGGGATGATTGACATTGCACGAGTGCCTGCAGGCTCCAGGCAGGTTCAGAGGCCCCACTGTGCCAGGTGTCGTACACAAGATAGTCCCTGCTCCCAGGTTGACGACATGCTTACAGATCAGGAGACAGCCAAAATACAAAGGGGGAGAAAAAGGGTGGGAGGAAGGGCACCATCGGCTAGGGGTCTGATGCACACACCTTGTGATTCAACAATATCGATTGTAGATATTGAGCAAATCTCAGTATTCCCCCCGCCCCCCGCCTTATGGAGCTTAGATCTCCACCTCCTCACCTGGCCCATTAACAGAACGCTCCTGCAGCCCCAAGCCCCATTGCTTTATAGGCTATGCACTGGTTGTATTTCATTCATTGTGCCTTGATTTATTTTAGTTATTTTCCATTTGTTTTCTATTACTCCCCCTGCCCCGAGTTAAACACACTACTGCTCTGCCCCGGTTCTCCCTCCACCCTTCAACAACCCCTCGGTTCCAGCCTCCAGTCCAGAATCAAAGGTGCGCTTTGTGGATGGTGCCCTAGGGAGCAAGCAGGTGAGCTTATTGCCACCGCAGGGTTTAAATGGAGGAGGCGTCTCAGTTCTGGCGGTGGAGGGAGGCAACAGAGACGGTCACAAAGTACCCCAGAGCCTAGGGGAAGGTGTGCTGCTCTGAATACAGCCCACTTTGGGAAATGTGTCCAGTACTGAATTTGGCTCATTGTTACATATTACGTAGCGTGCATTGTCAGTGGACGGTAACTGTCTGTGTTATCAACTTCTCCACATTTTACTACAGTAGTTCGTTACAAATTCGGACTGTCACCTTGCAGACACAAGCGCTTAACTTTACATGGGTGAGTAGTCCCATTGACTTGTGAGGCTACTTGTGTGTAAAGTGAAGCACTTGTGTAATTGTAACCTGCTGGCGAGTGTGTGTTACATGTCCCAGTTACTGAGCTTTAACTCTTCAGCTCAAACTGTAGCAGCTTATGCTTTTAGCTCCGGAGGTCCCTGATGGAATCCTCACCATGTCAGCCAAGGGGATGACTGTCACCTAGGTGTTTGCAGGATCGGGGCCATCGGGCCCACTGCTTCTTGCAGCCTTTGAAACCAGGGGGAATTGTGCCTGACTAAGGAATGCTTGGATCTGCCATTTGAGAATAGCTGACATGACATGACAAAATGACATAGAGGGTGTGATGCAGAGTGGCAGAAGTCTCCATAAACAAGCCTGATGCTTCACCTTTAACTTGCCATGGTGCTCCTTGCAGGTAGGAAGTTATGCATGACTTCTGGACACATTGGTTGCTATAAGCAGCTGTGCAAGGCCTGCTGGTAAAACCTGCTGAACTGATGATAATCTAACATTGGTTAGTCTCTAAGGTGCCACAAGTCCTCCTTTTCTTTTTGCGAATACAGACTAACACGGCTGTTCCTCTGAAACCGATGATAATCTGTTCCTCTTTAACTTATACCTTTGTGCTTTCTTTTCAGGGAGCTCATTATGAAACTAAAATCTCATAGCAGTTTTTATAGCAGCTTGTCCGACTATATCTGCAGCCACGGTTCTGCTGTTCAGAATGACACCCTTTGCTGGAATGGACAAGAAATTGTGGACAGGTGAACAATTCTTTTTTTCTCCTCAGTACTCCTCATGAACAGTTAAAGGTGCATGTAAGTGTTTGTAGGACTTGGGCCTACTGAATTCATTGATGTCTGAGGTTTCACAAAAGCTTCACTGGCGATCTTTCTTATTTATACAAAACTTAAAAACAATCAGGCCAGAAGCTGAGTCTGCTGCGTGATGTTTAGCAGAGCGATGGAGCAGAGGGGGGCACAAAACTACCTATGGGAAGGAGCAGAAGGTTACTCTTCATGCTTTATTGAGATGTGGAAGCCACTCTGTGTGAAACACACACTGCTGTGACCCAGTGGAGAATCGGGTGTGTGGGTGTTGACCAGTCAGGAACAAAGATGCGGAACAACTGCTTTACTAGGCAACACTCCCTCTGGAAAGGGCATAATTCAGTGACAATTTGGGTATCAATGAGGTTGTAGTTACCCTTTTACCTTTGGTGTGGCTTCACGCTGATGGTCATCTGGGCTACTGAGTTTTGGTAATACATCTTCTGGGTTTGTGCTGACTTTCTTCCAACTTGAACATCTGACCTTCATTCTAGAATGAACCATTAACATTAGGAAATAGACAAATGCCACAGTATTACCTGTGGACATGGTAATATCTGAAAAACATTCAATTCTGTCCTCAGGTGCACTTCAATGTGGACTGCATACATGCAGGTGTGCATGGAATTCGGTCCAAAGTGTGCAGTTGTTTTCCTTTGCATGATCTACTTGCACTGTGACCAACAGGAGGTTTCTACTGATGGGTCTTTAAATAAAAAGTCTTAAGTGTTGGGCCAAATTCATCCTTGGTGCAACTCTGGGATGCCAGCAGAGTATCAGCCACAGTGGTTCTTCCCCATTCTGTTTTCTCCTGCTTCTATATATAATATATTAAGTATATTCATTGCTTCTCTGGGTGTTGTGACAATTATCTGTGAGATTAATGGTGAATGACAAATGCAAGGTTAATATTACAAAGGAAAACGTGTTAATGAAAAAACTTTTTTTTTTTTTGGCAAAACATTGGTCCCGAGAAGTGTTCAAGAATGTATGAACTCAGCATAGTAATGCTTATTATAATTACACGTAATATCACCAGACTGCTCTTCTAATAACCCTACTTTGCAAAATGTCCTTTACTATTAAAGTAATTTACATAAGGAAAATAATAGAAATAATGTCAAGACATGGCAAAAATAATGTATAGCATAAAGTATGGCTGCTTCTTGGTTGGTAACCTCAGGAAATAATTAACTTGTACTTGCAGTACTGACCTGAAACACTGAAGGGACCAGAAAATGACATCAAACTATTTTTTAAAAGATTACTCAAGCATTGCCGATTATGCATTTAATAATATGAAGTTACTTTGCCTCAGGAAAAATGTGCCCTCTATCTGTAACTTCTTTTGGAAAAACTTTCATCTCCATGCCTAATGAAAAGTACAATTCAAAAAGGATTAAAAAAAATATTTCTCTGCTTCTTAATTAAAAAGCACATGAAATCATGCTATTAAATACTACAGCCTGGATAATGTGAAACGTTTAAGTACAATGAGGTCTTTGCAGATCAAAATTGAAATTCTATGTTCTTGGTCCTACTGTCCTAACTTAGACCACACAGAGTCCCAGTGAAGCCAGTGGTGGACGACTGTGTTGCCAGTGTGGGTCCTGGTTTCAGACTCAGATGATGACCCAGGTGGGCAGGATCAATATGGCTCTGTACAATGGAATTTCTTTTTCAGTTTAAAATACCCAGACATGTACATTTAAAAAAAACGATGTTAAAATGTCACCCAAGTTGCAGAGTCACTCACTTAGAAATTAGGAAATACCTGAATGAAGGTTGCCTATGCAATCCTAATTTGGCCTCCTTGTGTGTGTGCATCATGATGCAGTCTTCAATTACAGGCTTACACAGTGTTTGTTCTACAAGACACCTGCCTTAGTCAGGGCACAGGATGGACAATGAATGAGATGAAGGGTTGCAAGAAGAGAAGGGATGCCCTTTTGTGGGTAAGGTGTCAGCCCACCGAGAGAAGAGCTGGGTTCTAATCCTGGTTCTTTCAGGCTCTACCACAGATTTGTGATGAGCTATTGTGTACGGCTGTATCATATGGGTAGGGACAAAGGGGCCAAATAAAGGGTGAACAGGCAACCCTAATTCTGACATTTACTTGAATGCTTGACTTTGGAACCTGTGTGTAAATTGTATTATGGCAGTGCCTAGGAACCCCAATCAAGGGTCAGGGCTCCCTTGTATTAGGTGCTGTATAGATAAAAACAAAGAAGCCCATCTGTGCCCCAGAGAGCTTACAGTTTTGGTGTAGGACATGACAGGTGGCTGAAAAAGACAGACAGGGTAGGGAGGGGGGTTGGGAGGATGGAGATAACGGTAAAGTGAACAGAGTTTAGCAAAAACCCAGAAGTTTCTCTTCCCACTTGCCTGGCCACTGAATTAATAATGAAATGAACAACTTTGCAGTACCATGAGCAAAGCTATCTCCTGCAGTGCTCCTCCTTAAGTGAACACGCTTCTATCTGCTCTCTTCTCCCTCCCACTCTGTCTTGTCAAACACACACCACCTCCTCTGTCAGCTTATCTGAAATATTGACAACAACCCTCTTCAGAGCCAAAGTTTAAATTTTTCACTCCAAGCCAAGTGACAGCGATGGCAGGCGAGTGCGAAAAATCGGATCCCCTTGCAGAGATGTCAGTGGTGTCCTCTGGAGGAAAGACCAGCTGGTCTGTGTAGCAAACCACTTGCTAACTAGTTGTGAATTGGTGTGGATGGCGGCTTGCATAGGGGCTGCTTTGCATCTGTCCTGCTGGAGAGGCTGTACTGAGATGCACAAAACCACAGTGAGGGCCGAGGGTTCATGGAACTCACATACACAAGCAGAAAATAGGTCATCAACATTGTATCTTAGATTTATTTACCTCCTTCCCACCTCATGTTTTAAGCATATACAACCCTAACATGTCCCGGAATGACTGTCTGACTTCTCACTGGGTTGGGAGTGTGAGTAGTACCCAAAAGTGTTCCCCTTAATGGAATTAGAAATAGAAACTAATCTGAATAAAGTCACACTAATAAAAATAAATGCCTCTTCTCTCCTCATTCCCATTTACAGACTGAGTTTTAAATTGAAATAAGAATCATCACATCGGTTAATTACTGTATCTAAGGTGTTCAAGAGTGATAGTGATTTTTCTTTTTTGTTGCCTCAATTTTGGGGTTACCCAAATTGGGATCCCTTAAAGGGACCTGTTTTCAGAACATGGGTGCTCAGCACTTTCTGAAAATGAGTCCCCTTCAAGGTGTGTCTAGCTGGGTTCCCAAAATCACTAGTCACTTTCAACAGTCTTGGCCTTTATTTTTCCCAAGCGAGGTGAAACCTAAAAACATCAGCTGTATGCTCTAATTCTTCCGACATAACTTCACCTGTCCATGTGCTAGGCTGATGCTCACTTCTGATTTTCCCCAGACCTGGCTTTCAGCTTTTTACAAGAAATACTGGGTTTCATGAACCTTGCAGTCAGCTTCCGGATATTAGTCATTTATTGGCTGGTAGCCTACTGGGAGAGCTGAGAAAAGAAAGTCCTGACCTGGGGTGTCCATGTACGTAGAATGCAAAAATTCTGTGACCTCAGGTTTATGTGTCTCTCTGTTTTCCTGGCTTTTTGAGGCTGCAACCCAGATGCAGTGTTCCCCTGCTCAGATACTCATGAGTGAAGTACACAGCAGGCTGGACAAAAATAGACTTCCTTCCTTCCTTGTAGTTAACCTGTTCCATGTACAAGAGTTGGACTGGAGCCAGCAGAGAGACATTCATAACTGCTTCATTGCTAGAAGGGTCCTGATACTATGGAGAAAATTGTCTCAGTTCAGGTTTTTCGATTAATACTTAAGCCTTATCCACATTAGGGATGTTTCATTACAAGTGTCCTACCCTTGCTAACCGGGGTCGGCACCACCATGTTGTGAGACGGACACGTGACAGAATTACTGTACTTACTGACGGACATTGGTGGGTGAGGGAGGGGTGGGTTATGTCATTCAGTCATTCAACTTTTTGAAAAAATTACCATGGACCTCAAAATTTTTAGCACAGATACTTGTGTCCATGTACGGACACGTTGCTGGCCCCGGTTGCTAACGCTGGTGCATCCATATAGATAAAGGTGCTGTGCCTGGAACCGTTCTTAATTCCATGTCGGTTAAAGCTGCTTGAAGCTCTTCTGATCAAGGTAGTATTTAAAAAGGTGCCTGTCCAAAGCCCCGAAGGGGATTGAGCTACTACCCTGAGTGCTGGGGAGCTGTGGGCAGGTGATTCAGTTCCTGGGCTGTGATAGCAGCACAGGTACGTGATAGGTTTATTTATCACAGCCATGGATTTTGTATGTGTGAGCACGTTTGTCTGTGGGTAGAGATAATTTCTATAGGAGTTGAGGTTGCTGTAGTAGCCATGTCTCTAATAGGTTTCAGAGGAGCAGCCGTGTTAGTCTGTATCAGCAAAAAGAACGGGAGGACTTGTGGCGCCTTAGAGACTAACCAATTAATTTGAGCAAAAGCAACAGTTCACTTCATGGGATGCATGCAGTGGAAAATACAGGGGGAGATTTATATACACGGAGAACATGAAACAATGGGTGTTGCCATACACACTATAATGAGAGTGATCAATTAAGGTGAGCTGTTATCAGCAGGAGAAAAAAAAACTTTTGTAGTGATAATCAGGATGGCCCATTTCCAGCAGTTGACATAGGACCATCACAGGACCTAATCACATCAGCCACACTATCAGAGGCTCGTTCACCTGCACATCTACCAATGTGATATATGCCATCATGGGCCAGCAATGCCCCTCTGCCGTGTACATTGGCCAAACCAGACAGTCTCTACGTAAAATACCTGGGTATTTGCCTGAGTTTCCCCATATGTAAAATGAGATAATAAATACAGTGGATAAAAATCTCATCTGCTATAAGTC